ACGACTGGTTCTGGGTAGAAACCGGAACCAAACCCAGGGTACCCGCCGGTTCTGGTTCTAACTGGTTCTTTTGAACACCCCTACTAGAAACCTTAGAAACACCTGTCGTAGCCCCACAACCAGCAACCACATCAACAGGATCACCAAATCCAACACCTGCCCCTTTAGGAAACATACATCCCATGGTCACTAGAGCAAAAATAGGTGTGGTAAAACCCAACCCTAAGTATGCTTTGACCACAATCACCTCTGCCAATATACCACGTGAGCCACAAAATATCAAAACAGCCTTAGCACACCCTGGTTGGAAAGCAGCAATGAATGAAGAGCTTGCTGCTCTTCATCAAAACAAAACATGGAAACTCGTTCCTTGCACATCTAACATGAAGGTCATTGGTTCAAAATGGGTATTCAAGTCAAAACTCAAGCCTGATGGGACTTTAGATCGACTCAAAGCGCGTTTGGTTGCAAAAGGATATCATCAAGTTGATGGAGTAGACTACATTGAAACTTTTTCTCCAGTGATCAAACTAGGAACAATTCGGATGATTATAACTATCGCTCTTGTTAAGCAGTGGTCTATTCGACAACTAGATGTAAAAAAATGCTTTTTTGCATGGCCTAATTTCCGAAGATCTTTATATGTGGCAACCACTAGGAATGGCAGACCCGGAACATCCAACATATGTTTGTAAACTACAAAAAAGCACTCTATGGGTTAAAACAAGCACCACGTGCTTGGTTTGATCGATTTAGTGCTTTTCTTCTTAAATTTGGATTTTTTTTGTAGTTTAGCCGATCCTTCATTATTTGTTTTTCACTCTGAATTTGGTTCACTAATCTTACTACTTTATGTGGATGACATTGCTTACAGGATCTACTCCAGAACTTGTTGAAAAGTTCATTACATTATTAAGCAGTGAGTTCGCGATGAAAGATTTGGACCAATTCCCCACTTTCTTGGAATGGAAATCACGACAACAAATAGGGGGCTTCATCTATCTCAGTCCCACTACGCCCTTACCATACTTGAACACTCCAATATGGTAGATTGCAAGCCAATGAGTACACCTCTTGACGCTAAAACCAAAACTTCTTCCAATGAAATTCTTTTAGAAGACCCAAGTTACTATCGAGGTCTTGTTGGAGCATTACAATATCTTACACTCACTCGTCTAGATATTTCATTTAGTGTTAATTATGTATCCCAATTCATGCATACTCCCACAATGACACACTTAAAAATGGTTTGACGTATCCTACGACATGTCAAAGGAACAATTGAAATGGGTTTACATTTTTCTTCACATAGTACACTTGATCTTTTTGCTTTCTCAGATGCAGATTAGGCAGGGTGTCCTACTACAAGACGATCAACTACAGGCTACTGTACGTTCCTTGGAGGAAACCTCATCTCGTGGTGTGCAAAAAAACAACACACCATTTTGCGATCACAGAAGCAGAGAACCGCGCCATGGCTAACACAGCAACCGAACTCACTTGGATGACATTCATTCTCAAAGATCTTCGAATTGCAATAACATCTCCTCCCATACTCTACTGTGACAACCTCAGTGCTCTTTATATGACAATTAACCCTGTATTCCATGCTTGAAGCAAACACATAGAGTTGGATTATCATTTTGTGTGCGAACGAGTTGCACGTGGACTGCTTATCACTTAACACATCTCCACTGATAACCAAGTTGCTGACCTCTTCACAAAGCCAATGTCAAAAGTAGCCCTTCAATATTTTCGAAACAAACTTTGCCTCCAACCCCGGCAAAGTTTGAGGGAGGGTATTAGCAACAAACCACAGCTCGGCACACTCAACATTAGTGAGAGTCAATGGAGCAATAAGGAAGTACAAGATTCTTGGAGAAAAAAAGGGGAATACTCTCACAATATTGTCGAAATCAGTGGAGAGACGTTGAAGGGTATTGGAGCTCTAACGACAATAAGTTTAAACCAAAATGATGATCCAACAAGTCCAAAAAATCAAAAAAAATTAGATCAACATGAAGATTCATCACTTTCGGCTAATATGGAAGATCCTAATGTAAAGCTGTCAAAAACAAGTAAATCTGAGATATGAGTGCAGAAAATCCTATCCAAGGACCAATTCAAAACTGCAGAATTTTGGAGGATAACACCAACTGCAAATCCTATCTAAAGACCAGATTTTATGGGATTCATTTTGTTGATTTTATTTCTTTAAATACTCCTCTTGTAATGCCTAATGGTTCACGTTGCCAATCATTGAATAAGAAATATCATGGTTATGATTTGTGCTCAATCGGGATGAAGTAGAAGAAGAAAAGAGAAGAAGGATAAAAGAGAAAACAAAATAGAAGAAGGAGAAGAAGAAGAATCTTCAAACTTATTGTTGATTTGTGCTCAATCAGGATGAAGAAGAGTAGAAAAGAGTTAAAGAAATTATAGAGAGGATGAAAAGAGTTGGCAGCAGAAGAAGAAGAAGCTAGGTTTACTGGAAAATTTTCAATTTTATATGTAAAATGATAAATTATTATATCCCCTAGTATTTTCAAAACTTGCATATACCCCCATATTGAGCTTGGCTAAGCTTGCAAGCCACTTGAGCTCAAGCTTGGCTCGACTAAGCACTCGAGAGGCTCGAGCTTGAGTCAAGACCAATCTATTCGTGAGCAGCTCGGCTTGGCTACTCCCCAGTTGAAACTCCAACTTTTGTTTCTTAATCAGTCAAAATGATGACAACGACATTGTAATTTTTATGCAATGCATACTTGCATAGTGAGCCATCTTGTGTCTCATCCAGTTTTCTTTGTTTTTTCTTCTTTGCCTCTGCATAAGAATACATAAATGAATTACTGAAAAATAAAGATTTGTAATTTATATAAGCTAGTTCACGTATATAATAAGACTTGGTATAAAACTTAATGCTAACTAAATTATAGTTCATACTTCTTGTACTCCTAAAACTAGGTAGCGCATATTTGACTATTGCCAATTCATGACGACTCTAACCACTTAGCGTAGTCACACCGAATGAAAATAGCATAAAACATTTCTATATATTCCCTTATATCAGTTACGAGAATCGACATTTGAATGGGATTAACTAGTTCACAAAAAAAAAAAAAAAAAAAAAAAAAAAAAAAGGCTCCAATAATCCAAATTCAAAAATATAAAAAATGAGAGAAAAGTTGAAGTTATATTGGGGTTTTTGGGAAATTGGTTATATTTAGATAGAAAGGAGTAGGATTTGGGGAGTTGGTCAATTACTCAAAGTCTCCCAATTTTTAATATCCCTAAGTTTTATGTATTTTCAAACTTAATACTGTACCATTGTGTTTTCCTTTTTCTGACAGTATTATTTTTAGTATCAATTAAGTTGCCTTAATAAACAACAAAACCAAAATAAACACCGAAAAAATGGTTTTGTAAACTGATTCCCTTATTTTCATGCAAATTCTACAATAACCTAGAAGAAAAAGAAAGTATAACTATATCTAATATAGGTTGGTAACTTTTAATTGTCATATTAACTGAATTAATAATAATAACAACAAAGGAAAAATGATATTTCTACCTATTGAGGGAAATTATTTAGCCTATCCTAATTTGATGAAGCCGAGTGAGAAAGTCCATGATAAACATGCCTAAAATATAGGAACAACCATGTTATACTGTTTCGTAAAAACCCTCAATTATCTATTTCTTGAGAAATTGTGAGCTTGGTTTGGTTCAAAGAAGTTTTTTTTTTTTTTTGGTTTTTTTGTTTTGTCTACCTAACTTCCTTTTCTTCCTTTTTTCCTTCTATGAATAACATAATAATAACCCAATCAAAATACAATTATTTCCAAGAACAAAATGTTTATTATGCTTAATATGTTTATCTTGATTTATATATGTTCTAATTCTATACTTTGTTCTTGTAGTTTTTAATTTGCTAAATTGTTCGGGGCCTACGCTTTTATGAATCCAGTAATAATGAAACCAATAAATTCTTTAGATATGATATAAAATGAATCTTATCCTACTGTCGATTAGATAGTTTTGTGGGATGAATAAATGACCAATTAATCAAAATAAACAAATAGTAGACTTCTCTTTGGTGACATAAGATGAATAAAGAATGCAACCTCTCTGACAAATCTTACATTCATATTTGGTAATGAACACGTCATGAAATATCTTTTATACAATTTTTATTTGAACGCCTAAAAACTTTTAATTAATATATCTTTTCTTCTACCATTTAATTAAGACAGAGTATTAGAGGTTTATTTTGACCATTAATTTTAATGTTTTAAAAGATTAGTTGAAATGCACACAAACAAACTGATCTCAACACCCTCAATTATCAGATAAAAAAATATTAAAAAAAAAAAAAGTAAATGAGGACATCCACCACGTTGACACCATAATTATGTAATGGATGACACTACCACTAATAATAATAAATCTTAATTAAAAACTGTTTAAATTTTCATCACCAAGTCGTGTGACTGTGACAACGACATGGTAAATAATTAGCACCATGCGAAGCTGGCTGCTGGCTCATTTGAATGGTGCTTGTATTTTGCTTTCATATCCACAGGAATTTATCTTAAAAACATAATAAGCATCATATTCATACCCCGTAAAGATATAATTCATCTTTATTAATTAATCTGATAGATTAATGTATTTAATCAGTTTACAACTTTTTTACTACATCAAATTCAAAGGCAATACAAATTTACAAAACCAGTCAGAAATGGGATTCACATTTCACACTCAGAGCTCAGCCCGTTGTCAAAATTCAACTCACGTGCCACGACATTTCCCTCTAATGATAACTAATTATTAAACACGCCACTAAGAATTGAAGTCAGTCTTGGAGTACTTTGAAAATCATCGATTCAAACCTGCTTCCATTATTGTAAAAGACAAAACCTTAACCTGCTACTCATTTGTATCCTTGACGGGTCCAAGAAAAATGGTCTTGAAAAGTCGAAACAAATAACAATTTAAACATATAAAAGAAAGTCCAATAGAATACCTGATCTCAGACTTCTTTCATTGGAAAATATAGTCCTCAGCATCAAAAAAGAAAGATAATTGAAGAAGAGATTAAAGATTTCAACAAGATGGTTAGGGAAGGTTGCAGCCTCGATGGGAGCATGAATGAAGCAAAGTTCGGCGAGCCGTTGCCATTTATTGGTATCTATGTAGCAGCAGCTTCTTTGGCATGCGCAGTTGCTATGACTTTGGATGCCATCCGGGGTTTTCACTATCGAAAATTTTGGTTTCCCTGCAAATATTTCGCTCTTAATGCTACTTCCCTCGCCATAATAGCTGTAGCAATCAAATTTTCAGTGGATCTAAATACCGCTATGCCTCGCAAACAGGACCAGCTTGCCAAGCTTAGTAGCGCGGTTCTGATATGTACAACAATGGGTAATACTATGCCTTCTCTTGGCACCATGGAGAACAAAGAACTGTTCATGAACATTATGGCTTTGGGGATACTTGTTATTACCGTGGTTGTTAACATCTGCATCCAACTAGGTACTGGCGTGATCTTTATTTTCTGGAAAGAACATGCCTTTATCTTGTTTCTCATGCTTGTTATGCTTGTGATCCTTAGTTTTTCGGCTTTAACTGTGCCGGTAACTAAGAGATATTTGGAGATTAAGTACAACAAAAAGTACCAGTTAGCTCTCAAAGAAGGCTCAAATGAAGCTGATATTCCATTGTTTCAGAAACTGAAAGAAGATCTAATGAAACATTGGATGATGGCTCATACCAGCTGCCCCCAGTTTGTGATGGGGCGTTCGGTTACGTGCACCGCCTCCGGTGCGTTGTGCCTGCTGGGCGCCATGACTTTAGCACAAGCCATGCTTCGATCTTATTTGATGCCCTGGTCATTCCACTTCTGTAATGGGAAGTCTGACTATGAGTGGTCAACCACTTTTGTTCTTGTTACTCAGACCTTTACTGTTGGAGTTGGAACTATTGCCCCTGCATGTAGATGGTTCACTGCCATAAATTACAGGTGCCCGACTAGAGGGAAGATTATCCGCGCAAGGAAGGTCTTCAATGTAGAGAAGTATTGGATCGAGAAACTGATTGAGCTGAAGGACTGCCCATTAATTTTTCGAATCCAAAATCGGCAATGCAGGAAACTTGTCCATGTTGCCAAAAATCAATTTCTTAACACGTGCATTGGCATGCAAACAGGGATTGTGCTAGGAAGCAAAGCAATTCAACTAATTTCCATTTACTTTGTAGGCCACATTCTGTTAATCTGTGATCGCTGTGGAGAGTTGAAGAAGAAATTCAAACCCAAAAACAGCATTTCAAACGACTCAATATCGGAGTCACAGTCCAGCTCAAAGCCGGACCTCAGCCGTTTTGTTTTGCATCTTGAAGGTGAGAATGAACTAGTTCACCTCATAATGAAGGACAATTGTGATGCTACTGATCACTGGATGCGGATGGGCAAAAGGAAGCAGCCAAAACATCTGATTAAATTGTTGAAACAATCAACATGCTCAAAAGGATTCAAGGGAGTGCAAGACTTTGACAGTTACCTAGTTCCCCATCTAGACTTTGAGGAACCTCCAAATTCTTGGGCTCTTCCAGTAGTGACTCTAGCCAGCATTGCAGTCACACTTCCAAATATTGAAAACTATTTAGTTAAACAGTTGATCCGCGGAGTGAATGAAGGCCTCATGTATGTGAAAGCCACTGAAGAAAGCCTAGATAAAAAAGGAGATTTGATTAACATCGGGAAGGCAGCAGACATTGTGTGGCTAAAAGTTGATCTCTATCACAAGTGGCTAGATGTCGATCTCACTAAACTGTCCCTCCAAGCAAACAGCCCGAGGGATATACTCGAAGCACTTGCTGATGCTGCAAAGAACAGGTTTATGGAACACAAGAAGACATACATGACTCAATGTTTATTTAAGGAAAGCCCTTCGAAGTGGCCCAGCAAGGTATTGGCATCAAATTCCATGTATAGAATAACCCAAACACTCCTACTAAATCACCAAAGTACAACCAACCAGACAAGTGAAAAATTGTTTGAAGTACTTACTGTCATGATCTCTGATATCATGGGTGCTTGTCTCACCAACATACCACATGTAATATCAATGAAGTGTTTGAGCAGCACCATTGAAGAAAGGGAAGAAAGTGTGCGGCAAACAGTTTTCATTCTTGGTAAAAGTAGAGAGATTATAAATCTTCTAGACCAATGGAGGTTCCCAAATTTACATCCTGATCAAATGGCATACATTGATGAATGGCGTTCATTACAAAAGCTGGAGGACCATCTGCTTTCCATTCCATCTTCGCCAGAGAGTGACACAGTTTCTTCCACTTCAAGTGAGTTGTGTGTAACCATCGAGTGAGATACACAAGCATGGAGCTGAAAAACACAGGTAGCTTTCATATTACTAGTCAGTAGTCATTGCAAAGCTTGTTCGAAGGGAAGAAAGAACTCAGCTGCATGTATCATGTTCTGACTATAGTCTATGTATAATAAAGATAAGTTATTTGAAAGAGAAACTTACATCCACTAGATTTGCGAGACTGGAAACTTGTTTGTATGCATGTGTTATCTACACCTGATGAATTAATGCATTAATGGCATAAAATGATGACAACAATTGTTATAATTCTAGAGGCTGATTGTGTAACCCCAAGTGACAATAGACACGATGAATTTTCCATTATCAGGCAATGACACAATGATGATGAATCAGGAATTGCACAGGTATAGGATGTATACACTGCTACTTAAGCAAAAGTCACAGTGTCAACAGCTATGTAATAGGACGTAAATAAGTGGCACTGACCAGGGTAATTTGATATCTGGTGCTCGGATATTTCGTGATATTTAGCAGAAAAAATGACACTGACAAGAAACAACAAACACCAAATGTTCATTAAAACATCTTGGATTACATGATATTCCCATTGTTTATTTTATATCCTTGAATTCAGTAAGGTCTGTACATATTCAGGGAAGCTTCTTACCGAACTGAAACACATGCCAATCTTCCAATTTGATGATACACAGACTAGGTCTCCTCGATCAACAGTGTAAAGAGGTGTGTATTTCACACACAGGTTGACCCTGGACTAGAGAGTGATGAGTTTCATTCAAATCTTCACAGTTGTGCCTACTTATCTGCAAAGTTTAATAGCAGTAAAAAGCGAAATCACATGCATTAGCACTCAAAATAATATCTTTTATGACCTACTATCAGTTAGTGTTCACTCTACTATCAGATAGCTTTCATTCCAACCAGACTACAGAGGCCAATTCAGCACATCAAACAAAAGACGTTGCTCGATGAATTATAGTGCATTTTGAAGACAGAAAGTTCTTTCAGTGAAGCAGAATTTTAATGAAAAATGTCATCCATAGCCTGTCTTATTCTTTAATTTGCCCCTAATATAAAACTATAGAAGTTTTTAGACTTCTTGCCTCTCTACCTTAATGCAAGTGTCAAGACTTCTTGTATAAGCCCAACAGAATTAACCAATTGAACTAGCTAGTACCCACAAAAAAGGTGATAATATCTAATAAAACATCCAGAAACTTCTAATAAGTGTACATACTTAAATAGTAAAATTCCATTAGAGAAAAACACCATGAATGATCACTCAGCCTAGAATAAATTACAAAAGTGAAAAACATTAACTAGGCAATACTGAATTGCAACACCAAAAGAAACCACAAGTATATGAACTACATGATTCAAAGTCATGTCGTGTGCAAATAGATATCTCTACAATGTAGAAAGGAGAAATTTAATCCAGCTTTGTTATCTACATAGATCCAATTTAGCAACAATATATTCATCTCAAGCATAAGAATGAAAATTTAGGAGACATAAGGACAAAATTAGCTCCTTGTGTGTTGCAAACAGATGCAAGCAAAATAATAAAAAATTAAGAAAAGAAATACAAGCTAGCAGAAGATAATTATGATTGAAAAAACTAACTCTTAACCCTCTCAGTTTTTAAAGCATCTAGACTCAGAGAGCATAGTCTAATCTGCCACCACAGCCGATAATTTGTTCAATTCCTGAACTAAATAGTAGTGTACAAAACAGACAGGCAGAAACACTGCTATTAGGAAAATACAAAATTCAAATAAACTATACCAGTAACATTGAATAAAGAAAGCTGATACTGAAGTGCGAAATGCAAACAACCTCCACAACTTGAAATGAAAAAAATTATGGCCTTTAGTAGCTCTTGTTGGGCAATGAAGATGCACATTTTAAATTTTCAAGTTGCCAAATTCCAACTTTTAGCTACTTCTAAAAATTTTAAGACCTATCATCTCTTCTGCTCGAACAAACACAGCCGAGCATGAGTGTAAAAATGCACATACACAAGTTGCAGATTGTCAAGCTGCAAATGACATATTTCACGATTAGAAACCTGCAACTTGCATGTAAGTTTCTATTCTGAAAGATTTTAAACAGTATATGGGTAAGTATTCAGTTTTTATTCTGAAATTTGCTAACTTTCCTTTGTCACACTGCCCAAGGAAACCCCGTATCAAATATCAGAGTGCAGATTTTTAAATAGCATTATACTACCCAGCGAGGATTTTCTTTAAGGGTGAATTGATCACTGCTTTGACACAGTTATTAGGGAATGGAGCACAAATGTTCCTCTGCACCTGCTCCCTATTTAGTGAGTTAGGTTTATGCATGACAAGTCTAAGATTAAGGTCTCAATCAAGAAAAGGCATTGCCACCAAACCAAATGGCAAATGTCAACAGATGCTGTGTGAAGAAGGTATACCTAATGTGGCTGCTTGGGAATTCCCTTCATTAATATTGTCAATATCAAACCAAATGGCAAATATTAACGGATGCTGCATTATGAAGGTATGTATAAATTTGCTGATTGTTAACTACCCTCAATGATATAAATACAATTGGTAATACCCTAATAATAGGTTAAAGCTTAAACTGCCAAATTACTTTTTCAGCATTATGACAAAATTATATGTGTTAACTGCCTGTTGAAGAAGAAAGATAAGGAAGCCTAAGTGCTCACTCAATTAAAGCTCCAAATTCCTAACATTCCAATCAATATTATCCTTAACATTAATTTTCCAGTTCAATTTTATTCTAATCCCAACTAATCCCGAAGAGGTCAAAATGCAACACGAGTCTTTTTTTTTTGACCCAATTGATATGATGAATTCGATTCATCATACCATAGAATTATGCCTTCAGATTGATTCAGAACGAAAGAGTAACACAACAACCATTATAGATTTGCTGCTAAATAATTGAACTTCTTTAACACGAGTTCATGAGAATATGTGACTAATTAAGTTGGATAAAATCACATGGATTCAAAACAGCAAATAAACCAAACTCACATCCTCAAATTCATTCTTCAAATTTCCATTGATTATTCAACATGTCAAATATAGTCAAACCCAGTCCAATAAACCTCTTTAACCTAAAAAAAAAATTGTTTTAAAAAAAAAAAAAATTACAGAGAACCTGGGTCCTGCAATAAACATAACTCAACAGACATACTAATCGTCCTGGTCGCTCTTTTTGGGCTTGCGATACGTTTCTTCGTAATGTTTGAACATCAAAGCGCCGGTGCCGGCTAGCTTATTGATATTAGGTACGTTGTAGTTCTGAGCAACGTAGATGCCGAAGACTGTGCCCACCATGAAGTTGAAGCAGCTCCTGACTATACCCATAGTTTGCAAGTTAATCGCTGAGTGAATTTCAGCTCATAAGGAGGTTTTGGGTCAGATTTAAGTTTTCTGTTCGTGTTGCCCACGCTTTCTTTGTTTTTATTTTACTGCAACTTCACTGACGACACGACCTTGGGCTATAAGGAAACGATTCACCATTCGTCAATAAACTTTGTGGGTCCCGATTTAAGTTTTCAGTTCTTACTTTATTAAATTTATCACAAATTTATTTTTAAATTGTAAATTATGATTTCCATAGGTTTCACAAAAGAGTAAACGCATTTTCCCACCCAAGGTTTGGCGAATCGTCAGGTTCCCACGCCAGGTTTCATAAATTGCAGATTCCCACCCAAAAATTAACACCGTTACTTTTCTCTCAGAATAACCCTCATATCTCAAATTTCTCTCAAACAAACCCCAGAGGAGATCCTAGCCAAGCCAAAAATTCGGTTTGATTCTAGCACCATTAGACCTCCCCGACACCACCATCAACATCCCTTCATCCTCCTCACTAAAATCCCTAACTTTTTCACCCGATTGCACCTCAGTGAGGTGCTAGAATTTGGCTGAAAAGACGCGACAAAATGCGAAAACCTAAGGGAGAGGCGACATCGATCAATGATGTTGGGGGTTTTGGTGGGGGGAAGCTAATGATGTTATTGATGGTGTTAGGGGTGGTTTTAGGTGTCGGGACTTACCTGAATTTGGATGAAATGCCGACTGAAACTAAGAGCAATGACAGGCGATTGGAGGTTCAATCAAGCAGGGAGGTTAAGGGTTTTGGTGTAGGGGTTAAGTAGATTGTAATGGTGGTGTCTGGAGGGGTCGATTGCGTTGGAAACCGGCCGGAATGGCCTGAAATCACCGATGGGGTGAATTTGAGAAGTGAAAGGTTATTTTAAAATTTTTCGGTGCGGTGAATTTGAGAAGTGAATTGTTATTTTGAAATGACTATTTTACCCTTTTAACTGTCAGATTAAACAATTTTCTATTAATTTAAGAGTGAGAATTTACAATTTATGAAACCAAGGGTGGGAACTTGCAGATTCGCCAAACCTTGGGTGGGAAAATGTCATTTACTCTTCACAAAATTATAGTAAACGCCTGCTAGTTTCATTAATACATATCTAGAGCCTATTTTTAACCAGATGTTAGACGAATCTGTTAGTAAATATCTCAGATGGTTTAAATGTCCATTCTACCCCTAAAGAATCTATAGTTAAATTGAATTGACTTTTGTATCCTTCTTATAAAGTTAATTACCATAAAACCCTTTATCAACAAAATTTCAGTCACCTAAAAAAGAGTACCCCTCTTATTAGGTAAAATATCAATATCACTTAGGTAAAGTACTAAAAAGACCCAATCAAGCGAGATTAATATCATTATACCCTATTTGAGTGATTGGACTTGAGCAACTTGAGTTTCTACAATTTTTCTTGAAATTAGTTTTTTTGATTCAAGTGTTAGAAAGTGAATTTTTTTTTTTTTTTTTCTGTTTTCCCCTAAATATGCAATATTTCACTTATATTAAACACATATGAGCTAATATCACCCTAAATATATACAAAAGTTACAAAAAATAAAATAAAATGCATAAATCTAAAAACATTAAGGAGAAAAAAAAAAAGAAAATAGGAGAAAGAAAGAAGTGAAATGAATTGAAGAAGCGCAAAATCGTCCCGAATTTGCATCAAATGTCTTACTTAAAAGACAATTAGAGATGGGTGCCTCTTAGTTTGTTTCTTAAAATAAAGTCAATAAGTAATTATTTCTATAGATTATATGAAAAATATTAATACAACCCTATTCAAAAGGTCCACTCAAGTGAGGTTAATATCATTATACTCCACCCGGGTGATTGGACTCAAGCTA